AAAAAAGTGATGACATGGGTAATATATTGATTTTCATATCATCAATTAACTGATAATTATTTGATATTTAGTTGATCTAAAATAATTTCGATACAATTGGTTATCGAAGTAGTAACTTTATCAAAATTGTTGACGAAATTACAACTTTTCCGATCGATATATGCTTGATACGACATATACATAAGATTGTATTTCAAGCTAGAATATTAGAATTCCTGATTTTCTAATTAGAATTTATTCATGTAACATACTGTAGAAATCAGATCTTTTTTCGAATTCAAAATTGATGAAATGAACTTTCTAATAGTAATAAATAATTGAAAGAGTTATAATTTATTATTAATTCTAAGAATAACAAAGTTAGAGAATGAATATAGACTTCTATTTATTTTTTCATAATGATTAACATGATTCTTTTCACTAAATATTATTTTATCAAAAGGTAGTTGTTGAAATAAGTGTTATCCATTGTAATTCATGTTTTTTAATCATCCTTGATTATTCAATGCTTGAAAAAGTTTACGTTGAAAATAATTTCATATTCAGAACTTCTGATCATGTTACACTAAATAGATCAAATCTGCAATAATATTATAGTAAAAATTTTCTATGTTATATACTTGACATGTATAACATATGTTTATAAAAATGAATCTTCTAATTGTTGTATTTTCATGTTTTTTGTTTAGTTTTGTGATTTTTTTTTAAGATAAATGATAATCTATTAGTCGAATGAAAGATTTTCTTTTGGTAAAAGGTGAAAAATGATTACTAGGAAGTAAAATTTAACCGAGTGAAATATAGAAAAAATATTCTAATAAACTTCTTAAGAATATATATTCTAACACACTCAATACATGAATAAGAAAAGATTTTGTTAAAAAATTATGAGCTCGTCGAAGAGTTTTAGGGAATAGTAAATGATGACATATAGTATTTTGATAAAATAGTTGAAAATGAATCTCGAAATGTATGTAACACTAATACTGAAAAGATTTATGATTGTTTTTAAAATGTTGAATGAGTTCATTATCAAATTTGTAGTGTGAAGTTCTTTTTTTATTGATTATTCTGAATTGATAGTTTTTAATGAGAACAAACCGATTAATATATTCCAAGCTCTATTTGAAATATCTGTTTTTTTGTCTAAAATATTATTTTACAGATCCAATGAAGAAAATTACCTGCACTGAAGTAGTAGACGGCGGCTATTACGAAGGTACTGCAGTTGATAATACTAAAAATATTTTCACGGTTGAAAGTTGTAAAAAACTTTGTGATCTGAATACAGCATGTTTGGGATGGTCATACTCTTCTTTCTCAGATATGTGTTGGCTTCAATCGTCGGTAAATAAATGGATAAATGATACCAATTACAAGGGTGGATCATGTGTCCGTAAGTTAGTTGGAAGAATCTTTCTTTTTCTCTCTCGTGGTTTGAGTAATTCTAATGAACGATAAAACATACAAAAAAAACAGAGTTGTCACCTTGATATTTTTTGCTTTCAAAAATGAAAAGAGTCGGTGTGTGTTGAGGACTTAAATTGTTTTTAATTTTGTAATTATGCTTCAATATCATTATGGGTCATAACTTAGTTTGTCATCATGTCAAAAAAAGAGTAGAAGACACAATCTAAACAACTATTTTTCCTTCTAAACTTCATTTGAAATATTTGTTAATTTTGACTATTTGCTGTTTTACAGAACCTACAATATTGAAATGTCAAGAAAAATTATCAGGTTATACTTATGGAGGTAATTATGGTCAACCGGAAATGGTTGATACATTTGATGGTTGTATGAGCATGTGTGAAAGTGATAAAGTATGTTCTGCATGGGCATACAGCATATCGAAAAAAAACTGTTATCTTTATACTTCTGTGACATCGAAAACATCCGATTCAGATTATACCAGCGGACAATGCTATAGTAAGTAAAGTAAAAGAATTGTTTCTTATGACTTTTTTCTCGTCTATGAATATCTATATATATATTTAACAAAATATGAAATGAACTTTGTTTAGAAAAGCAGATGACCTCCTATAAGATCTGACGAAATTTTAGAAAAAAATATAATCTCTACTAATCATACACAGATGCTATTAGAACATTCTTATCATTTCTTTGAAGTTTACAATGAAATTTGTTTATGATTTGTAAAAAAGAAAAATTTTTCATACGATTATATATAATCTTTTAACATAGTGTGTCGAATTTTTATCATTTGCATAAATTCTCTATCATACAAAGTTCATTTCAGAAGATGAATGCAAAAGGATAATGTATTAATCTTCAAATATTATTTTACTTTTTAAATTGTTTCTTCACTATTGATATATTTAATATTCAGCTAATGGATAACTAGACTTTTGATATGAGGAAATTCGATTGAATGTGTGACTTTTATATTTGAGTTTTATTTACTATGTTCTCGATTGTTTTCGATTTATATTTTTAAAGGTATTGGTCTGAGAGCACAAGAATGTGAAAAGAAGAGTGGCTATCCACAGGGAAACAACTATGTTAAAAAATTGGATATTAAAACACTTGAAGCTTGCAAGACAACATGTGATCAGATTTTAACATGTTGGGGATGGGGATTTGAGATAGCCAGCAGCATATGTTATCATTACTCTGCTGTAGAGGGTTTTGCATCTTCAGACGGATACTTCGGTGGATCTTGTTATGGTAAGTAATTCAAAAAGGTTTCTTATCGTTGTCTTTTGTTTATTTTAAAATTATTGTCTTTTATAAATACGAAAGTATAGAAGTGAAAAGTTATAAGTTGGTACTATATTTTTCTGATAATTGACACGAAAAGATCATCTTCTTGTACTGATTTTTTTTATTGTTAATAATTTTGGTTTAGTATCGAATCCACCATATCCAGATAGATTATCTCTGAGAACATTCAGACAACAAGCACTTGATAAGCATAATGAATATCGTAAAATACATTGTTCAGAAGCGTTAAAATTAAATAATGACCTAAATGACATTTCTCAAGATTATGCAGAGAAAATTGCTGGATTTGGTAAAAAACCACCCAATTATAGTGGCATTAGAATGGAAAATTTGTATTATCAAATTGGAGATTATAAGCTTTCTGGTAGGCAGCAACGGAAATTTTTTACTAAAAGAAATATGTTTTCATTAAAAGGTTCATATCCAGTTACTATATGGTATAGCGAAAAAGATAAATATAATTGGTTGTATCCTGATTTTTCGAAAACAAGTCATTTTGCAAAAATAATTTGGAAAGGTACAAAAGAGTTGGGTATTGGTAGAGCGTTTTCCAGTGATAATGGTGAGATGTATGTAGTTGCAACTTATTCTCCTGGAGCGTATCTTGAGAGTTCGTACAATCAAAATGTCAAACAGTCATGTTGAAAAATTGGCTGGCGCAAATACCTAAATAATTAATAGAAAGACAATCGTAACTTTTAAAATTACATTGTGTCCACAGAAAGCTTTGATTATCTATGCTGTTTTCTTATACTAATTAGATTGAACCCTCATGATCCAACAAACTCATCTTGGTTTTTTTTTTCTATTATGATCACTCTAGACTAACTCTTTTAACTCTTTCACTTTATTGTTAGCTCGTAACTTTGATTTCAATATATTGGAAAACAGACCGACTTATATTTCTATAATACAAATCAACCTGCTAGTCTCAACTCTTGCTTTTCAGCAATCGATTTCCTGTCGAAAATTAAATTAGAATGAAATAAATATAAATGAATATGCTTGAATGAAAATTAATTTAAAAGAAATGCAGATTATTTTCGCCGACGCGTTTCGTGTTATTTATTTAAATAATAAAACACTCATCAGGGCTCTGCATTTGCAATAAGAAGCAAAAATGAAACTCAAATTAATGATGAAAGTAAATAATAAGAAATAAAAAATAAAAACAACAACTTAAAGGAAACAGCAGGAAACAATCAGAAAAGAAATAGTGGCAAAATAATATCACTTATTTGTCTCTGAAGATATAGATGAATAATATCCGATTTCAATTTTTAGTTTCTCTTGTTTAAGTAGTAGTATTATTCAATTATATCAATATGACATGGGTAGTTAAACACTAATCAAGTAACTAATATTTATTTTGTAATTCCTATGTTACAAATGGAAAATGTACAAGCCCTACCATACCAGTTTGTAGTATATTTAATAACTCGACGTTTAGTTGATGGATATTCGAATGTAAGAGGGTCCAATTGATTAGCATGTAGACAAACTAATCACTAGTCCAATTTTCAAATACCGATATAAGAAACACGAAACAAAAATCACCCATGTGTCCTATTATGTGATGTGGACGACGGAATGAATTGATTTCGGTCGTCTCCCATACGATGAGGATGGTAAAGGACAATTTAAGGAACAATTTAAATAATATTCGTATCACTTATTTGTCTCTGGAGGCATTGACAAACAGGACAAGATATCTAAATAAAATTAATATCATTAATTTGTCATTCATTTTAAGAATAAGGTATTCATTTTTAAATTTTTAATTAATTATAAATCATATCATTCATTTCCAAATTCTTAATTAGGGTGTGGGTGTGTCAAGCAAACCATGATCCAGATTTCGACCTTGGGTATGGGTGGGTGTGAGTGGGGTGTGGGTATGTTACACTTACCACAATACAAATTTTGTATTTCAATTATACTGATAAAATATTATCAAGTGGCATGTATCTGTTATAAAATGATTCGAACTGAGAAAATTCAAATCAAAAACAAGATACAAATTCGAAACTCGAAAAGAATTTCGACAAACACCTTAAACGGGTGTGTTACAGTTATCACAATACAGATTTTTTATTTCAATTGTGCTGACACAAATTGTTGTTTCAGGTGGCAAGAGTGTATTGAGAATGGTTAGTATGAAAATAGAGAAAGTAAATTAAGGAAAATGTGTTGTAGTTTTAGTGAGAATAACGTGCGGTCGTTTCAATAGTTTGTTTGTATGGATGGAAGTTGCGTTAATGAGAGTAGTCTCGTTTTGGAAGATTTGTAAATTTGTTGCGTGTATTTGTTGAATGGTTTTTTGATTTTGTTGCAGAGTTAGTTGATTGTATTGGAGAAGGTTAAATCGGATGTGGATCTCGAGCTCGTTGTAGGTTACTGGAAATTGGTGGTATGAGTGATGTAGAATGGATAGTTTGTAAGATGGAATAGTTAAGTATATAGTATATTGGGATGGGAATTATCTAAATAAAGGATGCTGTGGGAAATGCTGCTGCTATTTGAAGTGTAGGAACAGTCGAATCAGAAAGAGTGGTATTTGCGGTAGATTTTTCGTGGTTGTTATGACATAGTTGGTGTTGGTTTTTGTGGGGCGAATAGATTTGTTTTGGGAAGGAATAGATATTTATATTCGTTCATTCATTCATTTTCTTCCCGTCGTCCGTTCGGATCGGGGTTTAATCTCGCTCAGTAGTTATTTCCATAGATTTCGATCTTTCGCTGCTTGTTGAACGTCGATCCATTGGAGGCCCAGACGCTCCTGGAGGAGTTTTTCGATGTACTTGTGCCAGCTTGTTCTTGGTCGTCCGATTGGTCGTTTTCCTGTTAGTACAGCTTGAAATATTTGATATGGTAATCGGTTTGGTGGCATTCTTAGGACATGTCCTAACCATCGTAGTTGTGAACGGGCAATGTGGAGAAGTAGCGGTTCGATTTGTAGAGACTTGTGGATACTTGAACTTTTGACTTTGTCTCGAAGTGTCAGGCCCGCTACTCTACGTAAGAATCGCATCACGGCCGATTGTATTCGAGATCGAGTTTTCTCTGTTAATATCCAATGTACGTAGTCATAAATAAGTGTTGGTCGATACATAAATTTGAAGATTGCCAGATTTGTCTTTTTACTCAGTTCTGCCTTTGTTACAACTGACCGGTATAGTGAGCGTAAGACTCCACTTGTTGCAGCGATTCGTCGATCTACTTCACCATCTTGTTTTCCATCATTCGAGAATTGAACACCTAGATACTTGAAATTGTTCTCCTGGTTCACCAAGTTGTTATTCAAATGCAGGTTACATTGACTGGGTTCTCTTGAAATCGCCATTAGTTCCATTTTCTTCTCACTGATCTTCATGCCATAGTTTGTGCATACCGCTTGGAATTGATTGAGAGCATTTTGTAGGTCAATTGCTGTCTCGGCAAGATGAGCAATATCGTCAGCAAAGAGGAGAGAGTTCACCTTGACATCACCAATCTTGATATAGGCTGGGTTGATACTTGCTCGAGATAACTTGTCCATAAATATCATAAATAACAATGGAGATAATACACATCCTTGTCGGAGTCCAACTTGCACCTGAGAGTAGTCTGATTTGCTACCATTTATTCGAACGCAGCTTTTGCAGTTGTTAGATAAGGATTGAATTGATGACAATAGCCGACCATGAATTCCATATTCCTGTAACACTTTCCAAAGCATTTCACATGGTATCGATCGTAAGCTTTTTCCAAGTCGATGAATAATGTATAAACTGGTTTGGCGAATTCCCATGACTTCTCCAATATTTGTTGTAATGTAAATATTTGATCAGTTGTTCCTCTTCCTGCACGAAAACCACATTGTGTTTCTTGAATGTTTGGTTCAACGATATCTCGACATCTTCGTTCGATTATTCTAGCGAAGACTTTTCCAGGAAGACTTATCAGAGTAATTCCTCTGTAATCTGAGCACTCTTTCTGGTCTCCTTTCTTGAAGATTGGAACCACAATACCAATTTGCCATTCCAATGGGACCTTGGCAGTTTTCCAGACCACACGACAAATTCGAGTAGGCCAATTTATACCACCAGAATTGAGAGATTTTAACATCTCTGGTCTGATTTCATCCACTCCTGCTGCTTTACCAGATTTAAGTGATTTGATAGCTGGTGTGACTTCGGTCGTAGATATATCATTGGGTTCGTCGCCGATTTGTCCACTTGGTTTGGTATGTTGTCCTGATGTTGGGTTGTACAATTCTGCAAAGTATTCTTTCCACCGATTTAAAATATCTTCTTCTCGTGTCAGAAGTCGACCTGATGCGTTTTTTATTGAACGAATTGGTTTCTGTCCACCTTTATGAAGTCGTCTAATGGTTTGCCAGAGGGTGTGGGTGTGAAGAAGCTGCCATGACCAGTTTCGTCCTTGCTTAAGGGACTCATCAAATGGCTTAATCTATTCTGAATTACGATTTCCAAAACAAGAAATCAAATCCAAAACAAGAATATCTTCAGTGTTAATATTAATAATATCTTTATTGAAGATTATTGCTTCAGGCAGTAATGTGTGAAGAAGCTGCCATGACCAGTTTGTGTTGATGATGAAGTTGTTCTGTTTTTGGTTGGGTTTGTCTGAGGAGGTGCTTGGAGTGTAGTCTTGCGTGGGCTTCATTGTAATGACGTTTAATTTTTTTTGTTCGTCTGGCTTGTGGGTCATTTTATGGGACATTGGATGCGTGATAGTTTTGTTTGTCGTGGGTTGCATCAATAGTGGGCATTGTTATTGTTGGTGATGCTGAGATAAAATCTGTTTTTGGGAATTTCATTGATCGTAGTTTCAGATTATGAAATCGTTAGCGATATGTCGTTTTTATCTGAAATAGATGTGTTAGTATTAACGGGGTATAGTTGAGGGGTATTGTATGTGGTAGAATGGGTAGGTATGGTTTTTATTTTATAGTTGAAAAAATTGGAGGAGAGTTACGTTATATATGAATGAAGAAAGATATTGAGTCAGATTTTCAATGGTGGCTTGTTTTTATTGTGTTTCATTTAGTCAGTGGATAGGCAGTGGGCATGTGCTGGGAAGTTTGTTTTGTTCGCGGAGTTGGTCAAGTTGAATGAGATCACTGGTGGATTCCTGTTGGCTTCATTTGTTTCCGTCATTCTTTTGAATGAAAATTATATTGATGAAGAATTTCCGAAATACGTATTGTTTTCTCTATGAGTAGTACTTACTTTTGATTGTTTTGTTTTTCAATAGCGATTGTTTCGGTCTTTTACGGATTAATTCGTTTCTCGCATTTCGACGGTTGCAAGTGCCAACTATCATTTGTATGTGACTGACTGGCGTGGCTTTGAATACATTGTCATAGATTCGATGCATATTTCGTTTACAGGAGTGAAAACGTTTTTCATGTGTAATGTATGATTAGTTTATCCTGATAGTCTTTCCTAAGTTTCATCTGGTTATTATTATTGCTTGTTGGGTGATTTTCTTCGTCATCTATTTATTCATTATGAATATTAGCTTGTGCTGCACTCAATGCCACCTGTGATTGTAAATCGGTTGGTTGTTCTAGCAATTTGTTGCGCATAAGAAAAAATGTTTTTTCATTATCAATAGAGGGTAAAAACGATGTTGGTGATATATAATCGTCGAAAAATTTTCGATATTGCTTCTCAATAAATGACGATGGATACCTAAGACGTATTTTATCAATAGGAATCATTTTTTTGTTAGTATATTTACCCATTCAATAATAGAGTTAATTTAATATGGCATCGTTCATTATTAAATATGTCAAAGGTGGATGAATATGTTATAGCATGTGCAAGACTAGTGTGTATAACATTGACGAATGTGTGCCGAGGATGATCAGAAATAAATGGTACAACATAAGGTTGAGCTGTTGGCTTATGATACAAAGATGTTGATAGAATACCAGCATCATTCCTAAGAACAACATCAAGAAATGGTAGTCTTTTACTAATTTTATATTCTAATTTAATATTTGGATGCCAAGTATTGGCTTCGTCTAATAAATCTTTCAATGCTTTTTCCAATTTATTCCATGTCATAAAAATATCATCAATATATCTATAAAGATGAATGAATGAAAAATTTCATTTCTTAAATTTCATTTTGTTACTTACCGGCCATAAAATTCAGTTGTCATATCTTGTCGACGAACAAGTTCTTTTTGCCATTTCCACATGAAAATATTGGCTAATGTTAATGTAAATGATGAACTTATTGCACCACCAAGAACTTGTCTATAAATTTTTTTCTCATAGATGAAAACATTTTCTTTGAGTAAACCTTCTCCCATAATAGAAGCCCTCTCCGAAGGACCGACATGAAAGATGTATTAGAAGCCCCCCTTATTTTACAAACTTTTTGAAAAATTTGATTAGTATTTTCATCGCAAAACCGTCAAAATTCAAGATCTTAAGATAAGAATTTGTTTAATTTCCTTATGTACTAGCGTAAAAATCTCGAAATCTCCTTGGAAATCATTTGAAAAACTCTAGAAAACCTTAAAAATCCCTGAAATTCTTTGAAATTCTTTTTACATCTAAAACTATTGAAAAAATTTGGAACTTAATAGAAGCCCCCTCCGAAAATTTTGGATGGTGGGCAGTTTAGAAGCTCCCGGGGGCTTCTATTATGGGAGGGGGTTTACTATGGAAGCTAATTTTCTTATTGCATCAAGTGGAATTCCTTTGACTTTCTTATAACCGTGAACATGAAGAAATTCGACAAGTAGATTCAACGCTTCTTCTTGTGGTAACATGGTATATAAATTACGAATATCAAACGTACAAAAAAGAGTTGTTGGTTTTAAAAGACCTCTTTCAACGTATTGTTTAAGTTTTTTTATTAAAGATGCACCATTAATAGTGCTTGTTGTACTACATTTATTATCGAATATTGGGCGTATGATTTCGTCTAAGAAATTTGATATATTTGTTGTTGGAGCCATAATCGTATTTTCAATAGGTCGAACTGGTATATCATCCTAAATTTCGAAAAGAGTAATATAGAAATGAATTATGATAAGGAATATCTACAACACCTTATGTGTTTTTGGATTAAAATATAAATGGGCTAATTCATATTTAATTCCATCAGGCATCATTTTTTTATATTGATATTGTAGAATAAATTTTTTCCAAGAGGGAAACGGCGGACTTGAAGTAGAAAAGTACGTCAAAGTAGACTACTTGAAGTAGCTCAAAGTACCACCCAAGTAGCTCAAAGTACCACCCAAGTAGCCCAAAGTAGGAACAAGTAGCTTAAAGTAACTTGAGGTAAATTTGAAGTTGAAAAATACTTCAAAGTAAGCTACTTCAAGTAGCTGAAAGTAACTTGAAGTAGCGTAAAGTAGCTCAAAGTAACTTCAAGTCCAAAAGTCCGCCGTTTCCCCCTTGATTTTTTCTCACGAAGTCGATTGAGTAATTGAATAACTTTGTCCAAAATTTCATTGAATGGATTTTCTGTTAATTCCATAAATGCATTTGTCTCTTGGAAAAATTTTTCTACTTTTTTCTCAAATTCAATCTTTGAACCAACATAAAAATTATAACCCTTTTCAGTAGTACGAAGAATTAGATCAGATTTTTCAATTTTTCGTCGAATTGATGCAGCAGTTTTTGCTTGTTCTACCGTTCGTACTTGATCCTTATATGATAATGGAACAAAATAAAAATGATTAAAATAATTAAGAAGATCATTTGAATATATTTTTAGAACCAATGATTTTAATGGTATATTATGTGGTGGTGATATAAGATGATGTTGAACTTTATCATTAATTTTTTTATGTTCATTTTCCATTTGAATTTCTTGTTGATGTCGAGAACGAATAGCACTTCGGTTTAATCGTATACAAGAAGGGCCTAAAATAATAATAAAAAACAGAATCAATTCAAATCTCTTGAGGAAATATCATACCAAGTGAAAGATCATTCCATTGACGTGTTTTGAATGGATTCGACATCAGATCAAGATATGGTTCAGGTGAGACACCAATGATATTTTTTCTCGATGATGATGATGAATGTTGACGAATTTGGAGTAATATTCGTCGAGAAGATAATACTTTTTTATAAATATCCTGTTTTAATTTATTTGTTCGATAATTCATATATTCTGTAATTTGCTCAACAATAGATGAGCTATCAATCATGATACTATTTGATAAGGATGATTTCAATTCTACAAATTTATTTTGATATTGGTTTTCATAGTCTTGTAGTTTAATGTCATAGGCATATAAAGCAATAATAAGCCATAGACGTTTTGCTTCTTGTATAGTTTTATACTGTTTATTTTTGACTTCTATTGCTTTTTGATCATTTTTCATTGGTGTATAAGACATAGGTGCAATGAAATATTGTAGATGATCGAATTTTTCTGGTAAAAATTTACATAATATTCGCATTTCAAATATAAGAAGTTCTTCGTAAAGTTCTCCTTGTTTTTCTTTTATTGTCCATAATGATTTACACGTTCATTCTTAACCCTTCGACGATGTCGTGGGGTCCACGTGGACCCACTTGACAGTTTTGGGTATAATACAACGTTACCATTTGGTGTTTCAGATCAATCCTGTTCTCTAATCTCTAGTCTTGAGTAGCTGTATAATATGCATACAAGAAATTATATATAGGTCTATGCAGGAAAAAATACAGGTATGGGTTCAGTTGGACCTTAGAACAACCATGGCGTTATAGATATCATTTTTCGTCTTACTGGGGCTGCCATCTGTTGCCTCCCTATTGTTTCTCCAAATATGTTTATTATGAGTCATTTTGTGTTCGTGATTAACAGTAATCATGCCATTTTTTCATTATACAGTGTGAAATTTGTGATTGTTTTTAGATCAAACCCACGTTTCATCATTTTTCTGTATTCTCTTCAATTGTGTGAATTTACTAAAGTCTTTATAAAAATGTAAGAGAAACAAAAAAAACTACATTTTCACATTTTTCTGCTTTTATAGCATGAATGCAATTCAGAAATCGAACTTAAAACGAATTGGAGATATTATATTGACAGATGAAAATGAAATTGATGATAATATTAGCGCTGGTCAAAACTCTGATTCGGATAGTGAATATGATCCTGATGCTATTGAATCAGATGATACGTCCGCCAATGAGCATATATCAGAAGAATCTGATTCATCATGTTCTGATATTGATCAAGATGATATTGGCTGAGATGATCAACCAGAAACATTAGAAAAAGATGGTGTTACATGGTCCATGTATCCAAAGCAAGTACAAGGTCAAATACCGGCTGCTAATGTTATGAAAAAGAAACCAGGTTCTACTACTAAAGTCCAGACCATTTTGGATGCTTTTAAACTTTTCTTTACGAATGAAATTCTTGATGGAATTGTTTTTCATACAAATCGTTATGCCGAACAATGTTTTAATCAAAATACAAGATCACGACAAGCTTCCAACACTGTAAGCTCAAAATCACGTCGCTGGCAACCAACAGATCGTGTTGAATTAGAAGCTTTTATTGGATTATTGATCCAGTCTGGTGTAAATCGAAGCAACCACGAATTACTTAATGATTTATAGGATATAAGCGAAAGTCGTCCATTATATCGAGCGACAATGTCTCTTCAACGTTTCAAATATCTTCTTCAATTTATTCGATTTGATGATCGACAAAATCGTAATAAATCTGATCGTCTTTCTCCTATCAGACATATTTTTGAAGCTTTTGTGAAGCAGCTTCCTCAGCATTATATACCTGGTGAAAATCTAACTGTTGATGAACAATTAGTGCCCTTTCGAGGCCGTTGTTGTTTTGTGCAATACATGCCAAAAAGACCGGCAAAATACGGGCTGAAATTTTGGCTTCTATGTGTTGTCATTTGATCTATATACAGGAAAAAAGGATAATCAAATCCAGAAAAATCTTGCTACTCATACAGTTCTTTTTCTGATTGACCAATTACCCAACAACGTGAAACAAGGCCGAACCATTACATCTGATCGTTACCTCACGGATATAAAATTATCTGAAGCTTTATTAGATCGAAAAATGACATCTATTGGAGTCGTTGAACACAGACGTCATTTTTTGCCTAACGAACTAAAAGTATGTCGTAAAAACTTATTCTCATCGTAGTTTTATTTTTCAGAATTGCACATGCTCTTATCCTACCAGGCCAAAGAAAAAAAAAGCTGATTATCATTTTATCATCATTGCACAAGCATCCTGAAACATTGGATGATGAGAAAAAATTGCCTTGTGTAATTCACGATTATAACCAGACAAAAGCTGGTGTAGATGCCATTGATCAATGTATTAGTTATTATACTGTAAGACGGATCAGCCGAAGATGGCCTATGGTTGTTCTGTATAATATGATTGACATTGCTGCAATTAATTGTATGACAATTTGGTTATGTAAAAATCCTGAATGGAATGTAGGAAAAGTAAATATTCGTCGCAGGTTCCTATCCCAACTGAGTATGACATTGACCGATATACAAAATCAACGTCGTAGTCAAGAATCTCGTCTCATGTCAAAAGTCAAGCTGGCTTTGATGTCTCTTGGATATCATCTTCGCTCAGAAAGCATCGAAAGTCTCAATGATAACATTCATTCGAACCGAGCAAAAAGAAGATGTTATTTGTGTCCAGCACAACCTGGTCGAAAAGTTCGACAAACATGTAATGATTGTGGACAAAATGTTTGCCTTTCTCATTCCAGCAAGATTACAATAACAACTTGTCAGATATGTGCAAAAAAAAATTAAAAAAACTTTGAGTTTACAAAGAAAGTCAAATACAAACAACATCAACATTATGATAAACAAATTAAGTTTTTACTGTTTTTAATTATAAAAAAAGAAAAGAACTTTTAGTCCCCTTATTTATAGAAAATTGTATCTGTGCACATGTCAGTGTATATCTAACGTTCTAGGAGGCTAAAGTGATTGACTACACCGTTTTTGGACTTATACTTGAATATTGTTATAAAAACACTTTCAGGCAAGTTTTTCGCCGTATTATTTATCTTTATACCGTTTCCATGAAAGCTGATGCGTAAACGTCCATAAGCAGAATATGTAAAGACTTTTAGTATACAAATGAATTGCTTAAATAAAACAAAAGTATTGGTTTTCCCAAATTTTCTATACATGGGTCCAAGTGAACCCTAGGACACCGATGAAGTTACAAAGTGAGGACATCGTCGAAGGGTTAACAAAAATGATTTAATAAGTAAAATATTGTTTCTATTAGAAATCATATAAACTTACTTAATCAAACGTTAGACGATACCTAGATATAGTTTTAAATAATTCTTTTTCATGAAAATCATTATTGAATTTGATTAATTGACGACTATTTCTCGTATATAAATAGTTTCGTTGACAATCCACAAATTCATTGAGATACTGATCAATGCGATCCAATGATAATGTTGTTATAGAACATAGTTGAGATTGTTTTATTAGTTCCATTTTACATTGATCCATTTGTTTTTTCAGATCTGTTATATAAGTCATAAGATAACGGTGACAGACTTCAAAATCATTTGATTTTGCCATCATATAGAGACGATCCATTTTTATTTGTTTCAAGAAGAGTGATTCTACATGGAGTAAAATTTCAATAAGAAACTTATTGGCAAAAGATGCTGTTGTATACCAACATCTAGATACGAATTCCATAATTGTTGTTGCAGTTGTAGACAATAGTATTGATCTAACAGACTGAGACGGATACAAATAAATGTTTTTTCGCCTTTTTCTTTAAAAGTAAAATTTAATGTTTTACTTAACGTTTTAATAACTATAGATGGTGATTGTTTTAAATACATAGGTAACCTATAATCAGAAATATCTTATAAACAATAGATATGTCAAAAAAAATAAAAATACCGACCGCTAATTTCTGTTTATATTATTGTTTGAGACTATCATAGATGGGCTAATTGTCGTAGTGTTCTTTTTCTTTTTCATCTTTTTCAATGATGGTTATATAATCGATATTGAACTGATTGATTTTGATATCGTTGAATTCAAATTCAATTGTTGTAACGATATATCTCGTTTACGTTTATTAAGATTCGTTGTCGACTTAGTTTGTGCTGATAGATCTTTTTTACCAATAGATACATTCTTCACTATTGTTGTTGTCGTTGTTAATGCTATATTATCATTAGTGGTAGTTCTTACCGTGCTATTAATCTGATTCTTCTTGTTATTATGGATTTTCTTTTTTATTTGAAGTAATTTTTCTATATTTTCCGGCTTCATGTCTCTTGCACGATATTTTTTTCGAAAACGTTGACCTTTTCGTTTACCATGACATTTTTGCCGTCGTTGTCCTTGATTTGCAAGCTGGCCATTATTTTGAACATAGCTCTCGTGTATATCTATGTTGAAAATCAGAATTAACTTATTTTTTAAATTTATCTAAAATGAAAAACAAAAGATAAAGATAACATGAAGGTTAGCAAACAGACTAGTATGATATTGAACATCAATAGGCGAAAACTCTTTTATTTAATGATAGAATTGTAAGTTTGATTTTGAAAGAAAAGATTGAACTTGAAATTTATAGATAGATTGTATACGTTCACCAATTTTCTTACAACGTTCATTAATAAGATCAATCATTAGTAATAGTAGTTTTTCTTTATCAACTGATGCAAGACGATCAGACCACATTTTTTTGACATCGTCATCATACTTTTTTTTACAATTATCTTGTTGTTCTTCAGCTGCTTTTATATAGAAAGCTGATAATTGAGCTTTCGATTGTTCATTGAATTTCTTTGATGCAATCAAAAGGCATTTGTTCGTTCACGTATAGATTAAAGTTTTGAAAAAATGATAAAATTAATCGCGGATTCTCGTATACATTTTGCCGAACGGAATATTGCATTAAAATTATTTCGTCGGTTTTGGCGTTCAATCGAAGCATATTCTCAAGGTCAAACATATGCTGATGTGTTAAAGTTGTTTTTTAGTCAACTTTGCAAAACATCAGTTCAATCACATCGTAGAATATCAAATAAAAACATAAACGAATCTTAATGAACGTATTTTTTCTATTTCAATACTTTTAATCTGCATGCCTCCCTTCATATTATATAATCAAGCGTGAAAAGTGATTAATCTATCCATTAAAAATCATCAAATATCGATTAATATCACAAAACTATGTTATTTCCATAGAAGGATTTCTAGAGACCTCATGAAGACCCTCCAAAGATCTCGAAAATATGTCCATTCGATTCGCCATCAGTTTTTACCTATGTCAACAAATTTTCACTGGCTTTGAATAAAAAATAGTCATTTTATTCACAGATGACCTTCCCCCTTATCCTATCATACCAGTAAAAACGATTTTTCTCAACACAGGAAAGAAAAGGAAAAAAACCGATCTGTAGCGTGGTGGGGGGATGATATGGTAAATAGAATGAGACAAAATATTTGGCTTCATCGTTTACGTGGAAAAACTAGATACGTTTACAAAATCGACCTATAAATATCTCGCTCCACACGATTTCAAGCGTCACCGCCAATAGAGTTTGGAGTCGATTTAACAACTTGTCTATACTCAGTTTTTGATGCTGAATCTGAAAAAAATATTTTCAGAAGCCGAAAAAAAGAAAAAAGTAGAAAATTTTGCATATTTTTAGAAAGATGTGTTTTTTCTCGAAAAACGACACCTTTCGAGTATTCCGTATTTTTCGACCGGAAGATAGCATTTGCTAAGGCTAAAAAGTAGATTTTCGTGATCAGCAGCTCAAGCTCTATCCGATAACATGAAAAAAACGGCAAAAAAATGTTCACTCGAAATTCACGTTGCCGGCACCTTATAAATTTACTGAAATTGTTCTGGACATGAATCAAAAGTACCATCCAAGAAGATCTATTCAGATGAGAATAGCGTTTCAAGTTGTGTATCAGTAGCAAAAAGAATCATTCGTTTTTTTAATGATCTTGTCCGTACACACAAACTGTACCATCAAGAGTTTGAGAATAAAATTCAGGAATATCAGATTGTGCTGATGTTGGTATGGGGGGGGGAGTTGTTTTTCGGCGAACACGATTGAGACCAGATTCTATGTAATGCGGAGAAAAATTAAAGGTTTCGACTAACGAAAAACTTACTTCCTTCAGCAGCAGTAAATGCAATTGTTAAAGTGGTAGAAGAAAGATTAGAACGAGCTAATTCTTCTTCGTATATCTTAGTTATAGAACTTGTTTCAGTTTTTAATCTTTCTTTGACTTTTCCTTTTAAATTTCTAAGTTCAATTTGTTCAGGTTCAGGTATATGATGATGCTGACCATTAGATTTAATGAAATGGTCATTTTTGTCTCTGTGAACATTAGCTACACAGCCATCTGAATGACAAGTCCAATACTTTACTTTCATCGTTGATTTTTTAAGCCGAAAAATATGTCCTGAATAACTTAGCAAAGGTTTGTCTCGATTTGAAGTGGTGAAAGAGATCGATGTTGAATCAGTCATGTTTACTAAATTCAAGAAAATAATAAAATGATGCGCATAGTGTGGACTGATATCATGGACGAAAGAGAGATATACAAGAAAAAAAACCATAGTCGAATAATACGTTATTTGGTCAGAATGGAGAAAAATGGGTAAAAGGCGTTACTTTTGGACGCACTTCACATGATGAGTCATCATTACTTAAAGATAATTTGAACTATCGAAGGAAAAAGTTTCGTTGAAAGTGCTTTCGCGATACTATTTTTCGCTATGTCTGGTATTCGTTATCAGCTTTTTCGCTGCTTTGCACTTTCGCTATTTTGTATTTTCGCTATTTGACTTTTCGCCATTGTATATTTTCGCTGAACGGACACCAGTTCGTCACCCTCACATTCGAAGGTTTGAAATTACAAAATTAAAAGCATACTGTCTCTACAATTGAAAGTACACTATTGACGGATTAACAAATATGTTGCAAACTGTGAGATACCTTAGTTATGAGTGATATAATCCTCATTTTTCTTTCATCATATATATAATAGATAAATTTATTGACTAATTTCATAATAAAGTATGATTTTGAATCTTGTTAAATTACATTTTTTGTCTGAATGATGATCAGCAATTTTAATGTGCATTTACTGTGAGAATAAAACTTGATTACTTGAACGATAGAACTATCTTTGTACTACGCGTAAATTAGGAAAAAGATATATTTTTATCATTGTAATTTAAAAATTTCAGCTCCTCAAAACCTTCGAGTTTGAAACGTGAAATTCCGTAACGATTGACATTGCATAACGAACAGTATTTTTAGTTTTTTTGTTCTATACAGCCATAGTTGTTAGCAAACAACGTGATATTCTGATAGCTTGTGAAGAACTGAACAACTTGTACGTAAAATGGTTATTTATATGCCACTTCGATTTATAGTTGTGCCAATGGGCATATCATCTTATATGATATCTTTACTTTCTCAGTGTGTTCTTGTACAATCAATGTTACGTGTGTTCATAATCGCATTGCTCTTACGTTTATGTATGCTTGATTGAACCTTATTCTCTTGTTGTCGTAACGCGCTTCTCATTCTCCATCCACTCGTATATTATATGTATCGCTCTCATCTATGTTCTTACTAGATTGTTCTGCTATATCTGTTCTCTCCTTGGCTTCATCACTTGTTCATTCTTATATTGTTCTCTCCTTGGCATCATCACTTGTTCATTCTTACATTGCATAATCTTCTGTTATATCTTTCTTCTTTCCTTTCCTCCCCTTATATTGTATTATCTATTCTCTCGCTTCTCTCCCAGCTCTCTCCTATATAAGCTCATGTTGTGTATGAGAGTGTTACATTTAGATGTAGGGCACAGTCGAATAAACATGATGCTCACAATGAGATTAAAGACATTAATGTGCCTCTCCATTTGTCATAATGAAATTATATATATATAGAAATATATATATGTATATTTTTCGTTACAATAGTAAAATGCTCAACTTTCACATCACCCTTAAAAAAGATTCCATTTTTTGAAATTCCGTAACGGTCACTATTTTTGAAATAACTTATCTCTGGCTAAGGGACAACCAATAAAATTTTTACTAGTAGTAGAACTTAATAATCTCTGTCTATGATAAAAATTTCAGAGAGTTAGCTTTTACTACTGAGGAGATATAGGTATTACAATGTAAAAAAATGAAATTCCGTAACATTTGGCCATACCCACTTCGAGCTATGTAAGATCTGAGCATACCATTGGATAGAGCTCATCGAGCTCTACTTGGAACAAGAATAGCAGCTTTGGAACAAGTTCTTGAGCGAATCGGGGCAGGATCTACAGTATGAGGTTGATCGAACATAGGGTAAAAAGTCAATATTTTGGACTTTTTGACCATACAATTTCAGTTATAAAATATCTAATTGTACCATTGGATAGACCTCATCGAGTTGTGCTTGGAAGAAGAATACATGCCTTGGAACAAGCTCCTGAGTGAATTGGAACAGGATCTATGGTACGGGATCCATGGATTTTAGAGTAAAAAGTCAGTATTTTGGACTTTTTGACCATACAGTTTGAGCTATGAAAAATCCAATTCTACCATTGCGTAGAGCTCATCGAGTTGTACTTGGAACAAGAATAAGAATCTTGGAACAAGTTCCTGAGCGAATTGGGGCAGGATCTGTCGTAGGGGATCTATGGATCCTAGAGTAAAAAGTCAGTGTTTTGGACTTTTTGACCGTATAGTTTGAGCTATGAAAAATCCAATTATATCATTAGATAGCGCTCATCAAGTTGTACTTGGAACATGAATATGAACTTTGGAAGAAGTTCTAGGACGAAGCGGAGCAGAATCTACGGTACAGAGCCGATGACTCATAGGGTATCAAATCAGTATTTCGGATTTTTTGACCGCATAGTTTGAGTTATAAAAAATCTAATCATATCATTAGATAGAGCTCATCGAGTTGTACTTGGAACAAGAATAAGAGTCTTGTAATAAGTTCCTGAGCGAATTGGGGCAGGATTTACTTAACCGAGGCCATGGGTCTTATAGTAAAAAACTGCTTTTTGGAGTTTTTTCCCGCATGGTTTGCACTATCATTAATCAAATTATACCATCAGATAGAGCTCATCAAGCTGTACTTGGAACAAGAATAGGAACCTTAAAACAAGTTCCTAGGCGAATTAAGACCAACTTCACCTACGTATCAAATTTGGGTGATTTTTCATAATAATATCCTAAAAAGCCAAAGCGAAAGTCTGATCCGAGTCATAAATTATAATTGAAATTTTGGCTGTTTTTATACTAAAATAGCCCAAAAAGTGCAAACGAGAATTCTAGCATATTTATAAATCTTAATTCAAGTTTTGGGGAGTTTTCATAACACTAGCCCAAAAAGCCAAAGGGAAAATGTTATCCCATTTATAAATTATAATGCAGATTTTAACTCATGTTATATAGAAGTAGCCAAAATTTTTTGGTAGTTATGAATTATAATTCAAATTTTTGCTGCTTTCACATTAAAATAACCTAAAAGCCAAAGTCCAGATTTTATCCTAATTATACATTATAGTTCAAATTGTACAATGTTGAGCTCTGCATCATAGATGATTATGAGCATTTTTCGTGATCTTTATCTTATCGCATTCCAGTGGACAGAAGGCTTATTCTAAAAGCCTCGTGTTTTGATTGGTCTATTCAAGATCAGGGAGAGAAAAAATCAGGGGAAGAAAAAGTTAGAGAATGAGTAGAGAGCGAAAAAAAAAGAGACAAAGATAGCCGAGTGAGAGAAGGAAAATAGGAGAGAGGAGTGAGGGCATACGGAAGAGAAAGAAAGAGAGAGAAATTAGTAGGCGATAAGCTCAAAATTATAGAGCGAGAAAATGAGAGAAAATAAGAGCAAGAGCTGACGGTATAAAAGCGACGAACATTGTTGGTAATTTCAGTTTTTGTTGGTAAATATTGCAAATTAAGCAAGCAAAAGGTAAGTGCTATGTTTACGTCACTTACACTTTCATAGTACTTTTTATTACTTGCACTGGCACAGTGCTTCGTATTACTTACAGTGTCATAGTACTTTTTATTATTTAGTTCGTTGTAGTACTAGTTCGTATGGAATTTTACTTATTTCGTTTCTGAAGACTAGATTCGAACTTCTTAAGTTATATCGTTCTTTTTTTCGACTTCTTCGAATTCCAAACCGAGTATATCAAGGGGGGAACATCGTACTTTTGTACTTTAAAGTACATAAAGTACATAAAGTACGTTAAAGTACCATAAAGTAAGGAGAGTCCAATCGCGATGAAATTTTCTACACAGTTCAGTCTTAACAATGTCTCAGTCGAGTTCGAAGACGAGCATGATCGGCCGAGCCATTCGTGAGTTATTGCAAAAATAGTCATTTTTCTCTATGGCTTCCTATGCGAAAATCAACCCATCCCAGCTTTCATAAAAGAGTTTTCCTATCATAGTCAAATAAAACCCCAACTATTATATATCATTCGATAGAGAATTTCACGAGCTGCAAAATGGTATATAAAACATAAAGGAATGAGAAGGCTAACTCACCTATTACAAAGATAATTAAACGGAAATAGGTTCCGTTTTTGTCCACCATCTAATTGACTCACAATTCGAGCTCTATCTTCCGATCATAAAGTTGATACTTTGAGGTTTTCTGGGGCGGAGAACTCGAATCCGTACTCCACTTGCCTCGAAATCCGATTGGTTGAGCAGTGACCAATAGAAATCAAGTTACAGGAAAAACGAGTTTCTTAGGGTAAATCAAGGCGAAGTGTTCAAATTTGAGCTCTATTCGCCTCTAAGCCCTATTGATGGATCAATAGTCAACAGAAATAAACAGTCTATAGGAAAGGTTTCCCAGTATAATTTTGATATCCACATATTCTAGGATGACTCATGTGTCTAATTCACTTTTTGAAGTACACATAACTCTCGGATTTAAATCCGAAGTTTCCGCATTTATTTAAACTTCTTTTCAACCATTTTCTGGAGAAAAGAAAGCTGTACAACATATATAAAAATCAGGATGGAGTCCTTTACAATAACTAAATGGCGTCTGATATTCTGTAAATAGACCGGTACATTGCAACTGAAAAAAACGAGCAGTCATGAACAATATCTGATAAATAATTCTGAATCAATACACTGAAGTATAATATTTAAATATCCAGTTTTGTTCAGCTTTCGCTGCTCTTTTCTTTGTTATATTGCACAAAAATTTCCAATAATTTGTTGTCATTCTAAAAAGTTCGACTGTATAGAAACGATTTTTGACAATATTCCCCAAAGCCTCTCGCATGTTCTCGAAAATAGAATCGGGCTAATTTTCACTAGTTGAATCAAATGCGCTAAAAATTTAGATTTAAAAGTTTTAGATGATGCTGATTAAAATGAGAATAGCAAATTTAAAAAACAAAAACAAATTTTGACGGGTATCTGGTTTTTTTGGTCATCTTGTATCTGCCCTCTTAAAACATGCATGTAGACAATGAGAAAACTATAGGAATGAAAAACTACTGTGACCAGAGAGTCATGTTACCAAATAATTAGTACCGGATCCGTTATTGATTACTCGGTAACTTGTAACACAACCGTAATATACATCCTAAAATTTGTTTTAATCAAGTCACGTTAAAATGGACTAGTCTAAGCGCCATTCTTAGATATTCCCGGAAAAGTTATAAGGAATCACTCTTAGATAGTTCTTAGAACGTTGCAGGTGACAAAGTGAGGTAGCTCTCGAAATATCACGCATAGCTTATTAACTTCAGATTGATCAGTTTCTAGAACTGAACTGTTTAAAGAGTTCTTGCGATAAGACCCGATTTGTATGAGCAGTTTCTTCACTCATTTGACCTGAACTTATTAGGTGGGCTGATATACTCCTACTTTCTATATCATATTGTGTTGATCGTTTTAATATTATTTTATTATTACATTATTACAGTAATAACTTATTACTCGTTATTACTTTCAAATTTTTATCATTTTATTATCAATAACAAGTAATAAAACTTTTCATTACCTACTAATAAGAATAAACTAATCAAAAGCTGAAAGTGATAAAAATTATTAGTAATGAAGTAGTAGGAAACTAGTTCATATTTCGCTAGTAAGAGAGAATAAAAGCTCTAGTATCATTTAAATATTAGAAGCAAAGCAAATTACTATAAAAAGGGATAAGTAATAAAACTAATAAAAACTATTACCAATTACCGAGTAATAGTAATAAGAAGTAACAGTAATGTAACATTCCTAGTCAAGCTTTTCTTGAGAGACCTGAGAAAGAGCAAGGGTGTTCCTAAGTGGATCTTCTTTCTTTAATAAATGCATTACTTTACTCGAACGGGGCACTCTTGGTTGCAACGTGACAATATTGATTAGTAATACAATAAGAAATATGTTAAAAATATAGATGAAATGTTCTGTAAAATCAAACTTGGTGAAACAGGATTAGAGATGGAAATCAGCTCTCTGTTCGGATATTTTCATGAAAACTTTGCTCCATAACTCCGGAGCTGAAGCTGAAATTGGCCCATACCGAAGTTTTATCTGTCTAGCTTCGTGATGTGAAATTAACAATAGTACATGCTTCAAATTCTTTTGTAATATTTGTATTTCTTTCATCTGCAGAACGTCAACTTAAACTTCCAGTTTGCCAAGAAAAGTTCGGGGATGGCTACTATAAAGGTAACTACGGGCCTGCAATTAGCAATGTAGACACAGTTGATGCGTGTATGAATAAGTGTGATGGAGACCAAACGTGTCTAGCATGGTCCTACGATCCTTTACAGAAACAATGTTGGCTTCAAACTACAGTGGAACAAAAGATATCTGATTCGAGATATATGGGTGGATCATGCCTCAGTAAGTCAACAATGTATAGGCTGTACTTACTCACTTTAGAAATATCTAGCTTTCTGCAAGCGTTCAGACAGAAAGAAAGCGTAGTACTCGAGGTCTCTATGACACACGAGTCGAAAACAACGATCATTTTGAAACAGAATAGAATTGCATCTTGTGGAATAACTCGCTAAAACTTGTGTATTAATTGAGACAAATGTTTGAGCACAGTATCCACGATATTTATGACTGACCATTGTTGCAATGAAGTACACGTGAAACCCTGCATCTTGACAGACAAGAAATGTAACTTGCATAGGGCACTAAAAACGTTTTTTCGTCCGGCTCTCTTCAAAAATGTATTTTGAGGGAAACAATTCTAACATAATGCTTAGACATATTTAGAATCATGTGCAAAATTTCAGCTTTAGAAATCTTTCATTTCATTGTTATCACTTTTAACTTTCTTTCTTCTAATTAAAAGATAATGGAAGACAAGAGTCCTTATTTTATGGTATGGATGCAAAAGAACAAGAACTATTTACACTTATTAATAGTTATCGTCAAGAAAAAGGTTTACCAGCGATTAAACCATCTGTTAATCTTGCTTATGTTGCTCATACACATGCTATTGATGTCGTTGAAAATGACCCGGATGTTAATGGTGGTAATATGCATAGCTGGAGTGATAAAGGAATGTGGAAACCAGTTATATATACATCTGATCATGCACAAGCTGCATTAATGTGGAGTAAACCATCTGAAATAAGTAATTATAAATCTGCCGGCTACGAAATTTCATATGCAATTGGGAACAGAAAAACATCGACAGTTGATCCAACATACGCTCTTAATGCGTGGAAAGCAAGTTCAGGACATAACGATGTTATAGTCCAACAAGGTATTTGGAAAGACTTCCCAATGAAAGCCTTGGGTGTTGGTATTTATAAAGGATATGCATGTGCATGGTTTGGCTTCGAAGAAGATACATATCCACCCCCTGGATAAATACTTTTACTACGGTTTGCGCGAAAAAAATTTCATCCGTCTTAAACTGAATATTTTTTTTTTATTTCAACAAATAAGATTAGAGTATAATAGATATATCGAGAGAGAGAAATTATAGACATTAATTTAAGCATAGTGTTCTTTTAGTTGCTTGCTTCTTATTTAAATAAATTAGAAATATGTGAAATGCACCCTTGAATGACTTTTTCTGAAAATGAGATAACATGCTTGATCGACTGCTGCTTCGTCTCCACTTGGCCTGTTGGCTGTGGGGGTGTGGGGTGTGGGTGGGTGTGTATAAGTTACCACGATAGCCTAATCTATTTGGGTGTGGGTGTGGGTGTGTTTAAGAAGTGATTCAAATAAGAATCTATCAAATAGCTAGCAAGACCGGTTTCGATAAGTGCTGATGTTATACTTATCAATTGCTTTTTGATATTAACAAATCATTATTCTCTTACATGGGGTTTGTGTATGGGTGTGTTTGATGAATTGATTATTAAATAAATAATAAAAATCGAAAGCTAGTCAGACCTGTGTTTCGATAGTAGTGGGTGCCATGGTGAAGTGCAATTGTGTTGGTAAGTTTGTTGTTGGTGATGTTGTTTTCGTCTTCTTTGTGCGCTTGCTGGTCTTGCTGCAGTTTGATTTGTTTTACGATTATCTATGAAATTATTTTCAGTTGGAAAAGTATTCATTGTGCTCGATTCTGTAGTTGATGAATTTTTTTGTTACGAAATCATTTGAAATAGTTTGTCAATAATAGAATCGATGTTTTGATTTTGATCAGATTGTTGTTATGGTAAATTATCAAATTGGCTATGGTGTTTGGTGTATGTATCCTGAAATATGAATAATAACATAGGTCTAGTTTGGACAGTTTTATTTTATTTTTCTGTATAGATATATGAGTTACTCACAATGATTGCTCGTATGCTCCAGGTATGTTGTTGAAATTTTCTTTCGGAAACATAGCTGTGTGTTTGTAATACATGTATGTCTAGAAAAAAAACGACACAATGTAATATATATGTATTTAGATAAAACTATATTTTTTGAATGTAAGAAAAGAAAAGGGGGAAAATGAACAAGCTGGAACTGCAAGAAGATGCGAATTCATAGTGTAATAGTTGATTTTCACTGTTTGAAAGATGAAAAATGGAAGAAATATTCAGAGTCTAAGTATGGTACATATGGAAAACAGATAGAAACATGAGGAAATACAATATTTATGATATAATGAAGTCTTTTGCAAGAACAATATCATCATTTTGTTGGGGAAATGTAATTAAGACAGAAGAGAAGAAATACAATAGGTACACTTTGTACAATTTGTATAAGCAAAAGAACGGTATTTATTCATGTAGATGTTTTTCGTTGATTGTTCTTCGTGCTGTTTCTGTACTTGGTTGCATTATGGTCAACATATCACGTTTTGGTTTTTTATGAATCAAAAGACTTTGTAATGTACCATTCAATATTGTACCGAGAATAAGTCGTGTATTTTTGAGACGTGATCCTGGATAAACATAGAATTTTTCCCATATTTGACGATATTCTTTTTTGAAGTTTAATAATGGTCCATTTTCAAATGTATAATGAAGATAAATTTGATCTTTATGTTCATAATTACTATTATTATGAATTAGTTGACCATTTGCCTGGACTTTAGTTTTACTTTCTTTTCGTGTTGGCTTATAAAGTCATGTATTGTGTAGTTGTTCATATGCTTCAGTATTTAATTCAGTCCATACCTTCATAGCATCATGTTGAATAAAGAAGTTTTTTATATGTTGTTGTATAAATTTTGGTGGATAACCATTCACTAGTAATATCATTTCTGTACTTAATCGTTCCATATCAAAATCTTCTACCGTTGAACAGAGACGTGCTGCTCTAACTAACATTGTATAAATTATATTGGCATGAATATGTCGTGGATGATCAGATTCATAAGGTAGAATATGAGGTTCCCAAGCTGATTTATGATAAATTGTTGTTCTTAATTGTCCATTATTATTTTCCACGATAGCATCAAGATATTCTAATGCTTGATTGATAGTAAAAGTAATTTTAATGTTCGGATCTGTTCTGACAGTTTCATCTAATAATTTTAAAATATCTTCTTTTGATAGATTTGTAGTCATAAATACATCGTCAATATATCTACAAAATATTAATAAAGTACCAGTATAAAAGAACAGAGAAATAATTATTTTAAACTCACCGGCCATAAATTTCATGATGTCTATTTTGATGTTGAATTAATTTTTGTTCCCATTCTAACATATATATATTGGCTAAAACCATAGTAAATGGTGAACCCATAGCACCACCTTTAATTTGTCGATAATATTTATTTTTATATGCAAATGAAATTGTATCTAAAACAATAGATGCTAATTTAATGATTGTTTCTACTTTAAGATTTCCAATTTTTCTATTTGTTGAATATTTTTGACAAAATTGTCTTAAAGCAGCAATAGCACCATCACATGGTATCATTGTATATAAATCAGTGACATCAAATATAACAAATAATGTTGTCGAAGTAAGATAACCTTTCTGTTGATATTTATTTAATTTTCGAATCAAATCGATACTATTAATAAATGTAATATCTTTTGTTACATAATTATAAATTGGAGTACGAAGTTGATCAAGAAAACTAGATATTAGTCTAGCTGGTGCATTGATTGAGGCAACAATAGGTCGAACTGATATTTCAGGCTACGAAGAAAAAAAAACATATAGGATAGAATAATTATCTCAAAAAACAAATAACAAACGTTTTACCTTATGTACTTTAAGATCGAAATAGATATGAGCTAATTCTAATGTTTTTAAATTCGGATACATTTGTTTGTACTGTTCATCGGTAATTTCCTTCCTTTCATGTAAATGATCAAGTAATAATATTACTAAATGTAAGTCATTGGCTAATGGACAAATACCACTCGTAATTCCTCGATAAGCATTAGTTTTATTCATATAATTTTTAACTTTTTCTTCATATTCTTGTGTATCAATAAAGAAAAATAATTTACTTTTATCAATTTGTCCAACAGTAATATTTGCTTTACGTAATTTTCGTTGCATTGATTTGATCATTTTATAAATATATCGAGCATTGGCTTTAAGTTTTTTAGGTAATGGCTTGGCATAAAGTTGTGCACGTAAATGTTTCAATTCAGAAAAAAATTCCGTTGCACGTGAATCATCTGTTGGAAACGCATATTTAGTAAGATTTTTACCAGTTTCATCATAGAGTCGTTTGTATTCTTGATCAATTTTTTTTTTCATATGTTTCTTGTCAAAGAATCGGCTTTGACAAGGTGGAATATATTTTAAACCGTTATTGATAATAAGTAATTGTTTTGTTGACAATGGTATAATAGTATTTACAAAATATAAAGAGAGAAACATTGTTGTTTGATTTTGAATAGTTAATTTTGATTTGCTCCGACGCCAGCTTGGTTGATTGAAGTGTCGTGTGACGCCGGAGCTTCGTCGAAAAAAGACTTCAGTTTTTGTTGTGTAATATAATCAGCTCGTTCAATCATATGTTTTTCACGTGCTTCAATAGCTTCCATTAATTGCTTGAACATATCAGAATTTGTATTATTTTTCTTTAACTTATCTGTAATGGTGATTAATTTTTGTTTTTCTTTTTTAGCTACTTTATTATAGAATCGTACTTTATCTTCACCAGCTGCTATACTAAAATCAAGCATATCATATTTAAATCTGGGTGTGGGTGTGGATGTGAGTGTATAGAAGTTACCACGATAACCTAAGTATTAGATTATTTCAGATGTTACTAACTCAAACTTATCAAGTGGCCTTAATACCGGAATAGAAGATATTGAATAAAATGGAAATTCTAAATCGAGCTATGAGTCGTGTAGACATAGTTCGAAAAGGATACTTAGATAGAGGATCAATAGTAGTGTATGGATAGCTTACCAATGTTTCTTTGTTGGTTCATATGATTGATGTGCATTGATGGTGCGATCATCTATGTTTTTATGGTTTGTTGTGTTTCGGAGTTTGAATGATGTGTTCGTTGAAGTTGGTTTGTGATTGTCATCTGGAACGAAATGAAATTTTTTTAATTATAAGTTGAAAGGTTTTTTTTTGGGAAATATTTATTTCATAATTTATGTGATATATGTACAAGTTTATGTATGCAACAATTTTTAGATATGTACACATTTGAATTTTTTTATGTAGTTTAGTCATGTTGGCGTTTGATTTGGTAATTTATGTGTTGAACAGGTGTTAGCTTGAATATATTTGTAAGTATTGCTTGTAATTCATTTTCACGACGTTGTTGCATATTATTTACACGTTGAAATATGGCATGGATGATTGGTTCGAGTAAATCAGCATTTTTATGATGTGATTTAGTTGATTGTAGTTTATTTTTTTCAATGGTGGCTATTTTGGTATAGTGTTGTACGATTTCTTCGGCTTTAGTAATTGTTTGTTCAGCAATATGTTCGGCTGGTAATACCTATTGTTGAAAGCTGAGTGATATGAATATATGGTAGATATTTGGTAATTGTATACTATGAAGACTGTATGTTGATTCTTGTGTATGAACTGCAAGCCATTTCTTAAATATAGCAATTTCATGGATTATGTTTTCTCGTTCATTTATAGCCTTCCATATAATCTTTGCCGAATTTATCTAAAATTTGATAGTTTTTTTTTTGAAAATTTACGTAAGATACCGGTGTGCTTACTTTCGTTTGTCTTGGCTTTAATACATAAAACTTTTCAACGGGTCGATGTTCTTCAGCATCTAGTCGAAGCATTGTTTTTCGCCTTTCAAGTTCAAGACGTAATTGATTTTGATCTTTATCGATTAAATTATTTATCATAGTTGTAATATTTTGCATATCAATACTGATTGGTGCTTTTTTCATATGTTCATTAATAGCCTCTTAAGCTTTTTTATATTGTAGTGTATATTTATCAAGACGTCCCAGGTCGATCATTACGACGATCGTAAACGACCGCATACTGCCGTTTACGATGACGTAAACTGCCGTAACCGACACTATTACGACCGTATACGGGCCGTAAATCACCCGTTTGGTATGGGCCGTATTACGGTGGTATGACGCCGTGTCGTATACGGCGAAAAACGAACATCGTTTACAGTGAAACCTGTGCCGTAACACGGCCGTATTCTGACGAAAACTACAATATACACCGACGTTTACGTTCGTATTTCGACGTAACCCACCGGCTTTCACTAGGATGCCTCCTACGGTTTCATTAGAATTTCACTAGGATTTCATTTGGATTTCTCCTACGGTTTCATTAGAATTTCACTAGGATTTCATTTGGATTTCTCCTAGGACTTCACTAGGATTTTATTAGGATTTCACCAGAATTTCATTACGATTTCTCCTAGGATTTCTCCAAGGATTTCACTAGGACTTCACTTGGATTTCTCCTAGGATTTCACGAGAATTTCATTTGGATTTCTCCTAGGATTTCACTAGGATTTCATTTGGATTTCTCATAGAATAACACTAGGATTTCATTTGGATTTCTCATAGAATAACACTAGGATTTCATTTGGATTTTTCCTAGGATTTCACTAGGATCTCATTAGGATTTCTCCTAGGATTTCACGAGAATTTCTCTTAGGATTTCACGAGAATTTCATTAGGATTTCTCCTAGGATTTCACGAGAATGTCGTTAGGATTTCTTCTAGGATTTCATTAGGATTTCTTCTAGGATTTCATTAGGATTTCTTCTAGGATTTCATTAGGATTTCTCCTAGGATTTCACGAGAATTTCATTAGGATTTCTCCTAGGATTTCACGAGAATTTTGTTAGGATTTCTCCTAGGATTTCACGAGAATTTCATTAGGGTTTCTCCTAGGATTTCACGAGAATTTCATTAGGATTTCTCTTAGGATTTCACGAGAATTTCATTAGGATTTCTCCTAGGATTTCACGAGAATTTCATTAGGATTTCTCCTAGGATTTCACCAGAATTTCATTAGGATTTCTCCTAGGATTTCATTACGATTTCTCCTAGGATTTCATTAGAATTTCGTCAAGGATTTCTCCTAAGATTTTTCCTAGGATTTCATGAGAATTTCAGTACGATTTCACCAGGATACATTTTGTATTTCAGCAGAATATCTTCTTGGATTTCAAAAGAATTTTACGGAGATCTCTAATAGAATTTCAGCAACAGTTTAGTGGGACTTTCCTCTGTACATCGATAGGACTTCGCTACGATTTCTTGTAAAACTACTGCAGGATTTCTTTTAGAATTTTGATAGAGTTTTGCTAGAGTTTTCCCTATTGTCACTGATCTACTAAGTACACATATTGTTTTGAATTTATTTAACGAAGTAGGATAAAGATCTCATATGGTTAATTCTTTCTTATGAACATGTTTAGGTAGGGGGTACGCTTTTTGGAAGAGAACAATAAATACATAGAAACACTTACCTTGGATGAGTGTTGAAATATAGTTGAAAGACAAAGTAAACACCTCTATATATGGAGCTGTTTCTGTAAAACAAAACGGTGAATGAACACTTGACCGAAATTCTACGGAGGAATATTCAATTTTAGATCGGAAATTTTTGAATAGAAGAAGTATTTAATTATTGAAAGGCAAAGTAAACACTTCTATATATAGAGTTGTTTCAGTAATACAAAGCGGTGAATGAATACTTGACCGAAATTCTAGAGAGAAATTTTTGAATTTCAGATGAGGATTTTTGGATAGAACAAGTATTTAATTATTGAAAGACAAAGTAAACCCCTCTATATATAGAGTTGTTTCTGTAAAACAAAACGGTGAATGAATACCTGACCGAAATTCTAGAGAGAAATTTTTGGATTTCAGATAGGAAATTTTTTGATTTCAGATGGGGAATTTTTGGATAGAACAAGTATTTAATTATTGAAAGACAAAATACACCCCTCTATATATAGAGCTGTTTTTGTAAAACAAAACGGTGAATGAATACTTGACCGAAATTCTAGGAAGAAATTTTTGGATTTCAGATGGGAAATTTTTGGATAGAACAAGGACTTAATTATTAAAAGCTAAGTAAACCCTATATATATATAGAGCTGTTTCTGTAAAACCGAACGATGAATGAATACTTGACCGAAATTCTAGAGAGAAACTTTTGAATTTCAGATGGGGAATTCTTTGATTTCAGATGGGGAATTTTTTGATTTCAGATGGGGAGTTTTTGGATAGAACAAGTATTTAATTATTGAAAGACAAAGTAAACCCGTCTATATATATAGTTGTTTCTGTAAAACAAAACGGTGAGTGAATACTTGGCCGAAAATCTAGACAGAAATTTTCAATTTCAGATCGGGAATTTTTGAGCAGAATAAGTATCTAATTAACTATTTAATTAAGTACAAAACCGTAGAATAACGTTCATGTTGACAGAAAATTTTTCAACCACTATTTGAAATTACCAATTTGTTATTTGTCGATTGATTCATAAAAAATCTAAAGAATATATATGTGAAGAGAATTTTACAAAGCAAAGGATGGTGTCGATCTCAGAAGCTGTTATGAAAATTTGTACTATTTTTCAGATTTGAAAAAAGTACTAGGAAGCTCAGATCTTCTAGTAGCGAAGTTCTGATTTCGCCATTATATTTAATGAAAGTAGTTCGTCATCGTTAACGACTGTTTACGAAGAGGTACGATAAAAAACGATGAGCGTAGATCACACCGTTTATAGCTGGCGTTTAGGATATCTTACGATATTATTCGAGTGCCGTTTACAGTCGCCGTATTATTACGGTAGTCGTAAACGGCGAATATTTACGGCCATTATTTACGATGAGCGTAATACACCGTAAAGCATCGTATATGATTGGCGTTAACGGTCATTGTAAACGGCTACCGTTTGCGATATCTTACGGTATTATCCGAGCGTCGTTTACAGTCGCCGTATTATTACGGTACTCGTAAACGGCAAACGTTTACAGTCAGTGTTTACGATGAACGTAATATACCGTAAAACGTCGTATATGACTGCCGTGAACGGTCACTGTAAACAGCTGTCGTTTTTCGTCGTAAATGATTGGTATACGGCCGTTTACGGCCGGACGTGAATGACCTGGGGTTGTTTGATTAAATTTTTCGATCGGCCATATGTGTAACACATTGAATTTGCATCAGCCATTTTTTTTGATACTCGGCCATTCCAAATACCTTCGGTCATGCCAAGATTATAATAGTAAGACCATTGTTCATGTTGTAATTGAGAATAATTGAATCTATTGATCAATTTTGTAAGTTCACGAATAAATATTAATATTTCTTTGTGGTTCAATAATTCCATAAATTTATTTTGATTCATAATATTTGGCATTAACGTTAATAACATTTGTGTAAAGTTGCTATCCGATATTGTTGAATAATCCGGTAATAATAATGTTGGATCAGAACTTGTTTCTATATCCATAGGATGGGTGGGTGTGGGTGTGTATATACAAATGAATTTCATTTAATAGCACAAGCTAAGCTTACGATCGGTTTCGACCTTGCTTAAGGGTCTTCATCAGGTAAGTTCGGCTATTCAATTTTAAAATGCTGCAATTCAATTCTACTCACAAGTTCGAGACAGTTTAATGAAAGCTAAGAATAACTTTCACTAAATTACCATGAATATATATGTTAAATGGTTTGTTAGTGCTTGTAATTTTAGCGTTTTGTTATGTATAATTTGGTGAGTGTTTGAAATTTGTGAGCTGGTTTTGGAATGGACGGGTAATTTTATCCGGAAGTGTTGTTGATTTTTATTTGTGTTTTAGTGATAATGTTTGTTTATTTTGGATAATGTTTTTGTTGTGGTTTTGTCGCAGGTCTGATAGCTAATGGAGAGCGAGTGTAGTTAGTTTTTTGGAGTATCGATTGATGTTTAGTTTCAGTCAAGCCGTTGCCTAATAATCTATACAGATGTTGAGCGAACATAGGCTGATTTGTCGTGTGTTTGGCAGTGTTATGGTTGGATTTTTGACGAGAACGTCTTTGGTTTGTTCAGTTAAGCAGGAAACTAGTAAGTGTGCGTCTAGGATTATACTTATCTAGAATGAAACTATATATGAGTATGATATTAGAAAAAGTGCACAAATATATTTCATTAATCTAAGGTTAACTGTTTCGCGCACAGATTAGAAATACTAAAGATTAACTAATGTCTACGAGGTAAATAAAGTTGCTTATATTGATTAGATGTTATTTTATAATAGCGACCATTTTAGTTTTAAATGGTCACTGAGTTCATGTCGTGGTTTACATTGATGTATGATTCAAATTAGCACACCAATGTAGGTTATACGGACGACCGTAACGTTTTTCAGGATCACCATCAAGTGGACAAATCATATTCAATTTAGTTTCACCATGAATAATGAATAATGTTTCGATGATGTATCGTAGTATCATTGAACAATCATGTGGTACTAAATCAGCGTGAAAGAAAAACAGGTATAAATGATAATGATGATATTGATCTGGTTGATAAAGATAGATTTACTTACAAACGGCAATGATTGCTATGTGATACAAATCTAATTTGATATAAGGCCTGTAATGAATGGAAGAAGTAACAAATCGTTCGAAAAATAGACGCTGTTGTTTTAACTGTCGAAATGAGAAGGCATAGGAAGTTGGTGGTAATGGTACATTATCTAGATAATTGGCGACCCTACGATTGTCTACGACAGTAGTTGTTATCACAGCATCCAGATTGGGATCTGTAGTAGAAGTTCCTGGATGATTAGCAGTATTTTCTGCTACTGCTTCATCCCAAAGTAGAGGAATAAAACACCAATACATAGGGTTGCAATCAAGAAATGAACGAAGTGCTCCTGCACAACGAGCTGAATGTTGATAGAGACGCATTTGATTAGCCATTTCTTTTCTACAACAATGAAAAAGAAAACAAAGAATATGCAGCATAATCGAAAGAATGATCGAATGTCTTTTATTACTCTCTTCCATTAGGATCGATTTGCGACCCTCGAAACAGAGGACTACCAGTTAATTTTTCATGTATAATTCGATTGCCATGTTCTCGATGATCTGTATATCATAAGAAAAAGAAGAAGAGAAATAAAGGTATGCTCATGATTATCGTAAGAAAATTTATATTTACAAGCCATAGCATCAGCCAATGTTTTTGCTGTTGAATCAACATAATCATAATGACCACATGGACAGGTCATGGCATAAATTATATTCGATGTAGTACATGTCTAAATTTTAATCATAGCCGATCGATATAAAATTTAACATTTAAGAACAACATACTGCTGGACAATTTAGATAGATAGTATAACCATTGAGAAATCGATGCATTGAACTTGAAGCAAAATCAACAATTGGCCATGGTTGACTTTTCTTGTAAGTATTTAATGGAAGACAACATTGACAAAAAAGATTATCACATGGAACCAATGAATATCTTGCTTGAGGTTCATCTCTTCCACAAAATAGACCTTCTATATTAGATGGAGGTTGAGCTCCTCGAAACGAACAAGTTTTCATATAGAATAAATCCACTAAAAAATATGAAACATATATGCATCATATATATATATATCGACATGAAGACTAACCATCAATTTGTAAATAGAATTCCAATGCCATAGCTATTTGTTTCGAATTGGGTGTTGGTTCTTTTAGAGTAATATCACTCTTACATGGAACATATCGTCGAAATGATTGATGGAATGCAATAAGAGTATGACAGATGCTACGAAGTCGTTGTGCATTGAAAATAATTATTGATTTGCCTACTTGTAATCGTGAAGCTAATTCATTAGCATCTTGTTCAGATAAACTAAATCCATCGGAATAATTGTACTTATTCATCAGCATCAGTGCATCGAAAGTATAGGCTCCATATTGACGGCGATTAATTTGATGAGGTGCAAGACGACTAACTAAAAGACAATGAAATGAAATGATTTATAATCAATTTATATCGAACATACGAACCTGGTACATTAGCCAAAAGTAAGGGTGTGGGTGTGTGGGTGAATCAAATAGAAACAGATCAATCTATATCTCTCAGATACAAATCAATCTGCTGGTCTCAACTCTTGCTTTTCAGCAACCGATGAAGTCGTATATATTTTGACAAATTGAATATTCGTGCTTTATGAAATAATAAAAAGAGAATGCAGAGTTTAATTTCGCCGACGCGTTTCGTGTTATTTATTTAATTAATAAAACACTCTTCAGGGCTCTGCATTACAAACACAATTTTTAAAACGATTCATATCGTACTTAGACGCTAACTATAACTTTAACTACGTTTAAGACACAAATATAACAATAATTATAATGAAAGCTACGCAGTGACATGAAAAAACAAAATTAACAACTAATAAAGAATTCAAATACAAAAAAGTTAATAAAAATACAAACTACATAACTAAGTTTGTTATTGCTGTTGTCGATATATTAGTACGTGTACATGATGGTGAACTTTTAGCTGGATAATATCACTTATTTGTCTATGAAGATATCGTTCAATTGAAAAAATAATTGATTGATCAATAAATTTTGCTTGATGAAATTAATTAATAACCACCAATTGAAAGAATAATTGATTGATCAATAAACTTTGCTTAATAAAATTCGTTGATAACCACTTCAAGACCAAGTTTGAACCTCAATAGTTTATTTTAAATAATAATATTCCGAAGGCATGGGTCACAAACATATTATTGTTGTTGTTGATATATTAGTACGTGTACGTGATGGTGAATTAATACGAATACAACAAAATAAATTTTTAGTATATTGAATAACTCGACGTTTAGTTGACGGGTAATTTCCAGTATATTGAATAACTCGACGTTTAGTTAACGGGTGATTTCCAGTATAATGGATAACTCGACGTTTAGTTAATAATAATTTTTTCAATATACTAAATAACTCAACATTTAGTTAACAGATAATTTCGAACATCGATATTTCACAATAAAGACGCCAAATTAACTAGACCATAATGAAAGGTATTAGGTAAACGAATAATATATTGCCATTTTCTTAATTATTTAAGTTAAAGCCATTCATAAAATTATATAAAATACAAAAACACAAATATTGAAACAATTCATAACATATTAAAAGCTAGACGTCTTTGCATATTCTTCATATTTCGGGTACCGAGAATAGGTCTGACTTCATTAATAGGAGATTCCTTAAAATATTTATTCCAAAGTAAATGGAATTTAACAGGAAAGGTTTTCATGGTAGAACAATATGTAAAATATATAAAAATAATTGCTTCATAATCAATCATAACTTTTTCTTTCATGGGTAAATCCATGACTTTTTGACGATATTTGTCATAATTGAAATTTTTTAATGGCTGATCAATATTACATTTTAAAAGAACATTATTAAACTGTTCTTCAATTAATTTATTCGGATACTTATTAAGTAATAAAGCCATACGCAATTTTTCACGTTCATTCAAATATGTTTGGAATGTAGAACAATACCTAATCACTCGAAGTAACATCGTAAAAGGTATATTCTTTTCCATATGTAATGGATGAATACTATTGAATGGCAAATAATACGGCTCATAAGACGGCTTTTGATAAACAGTAGTAAATAATACGCAATCACGATTTTCCATATATAAATCAAGAAAGGTCGCAAATGAGCCAATGTATGGGTTTAACTTAATATTTTCATCAAAATTCTTCCATTTGTCGATTTGTTTTAATAGATGTCGAACGGGCCAATTAACGACAATAAATAAATCATCAATATAACGAAAGTAGAGTCCACCGCTATTCTTAATTTGCTTGGCTATTCTTCGTTCAAAGAAAAACATATAACAATTTGCCATAGTCAAGGTTAACGGAGATCCCATAGCTCCACCTCTAATTTGATGATAAAATTGTCCATCATAAGAAAAATAATTATTTTGCATCACAAATCGACTTAATCTAATAATAGTTTCTATTTTTAAGCCACCAACTTTTTTCAATTTTAAATAATCCAACATTTTCTTCAACGATAGTACTCCTCCTACTTGTGGAATCATTGTATATAAACCAATAACATCAATGGTGCAAAATATTATATTTTCACTCATATTTAATATTGACCATTGTTGTGGTTTCTTTTGCCATGCCATCAAATATTGGTCTTAATAAGTCATCAAGAAATTTTGAGATTTTAATTGTAGGATGTTTAAGACCACTTATAATTGGGCGTAGAGGAGTACCAGGCTTGTGAGCTTTTGGTAAATAATATAAATGAGCCAATTCAACTTCATTTGGTTTAATACTTAATAATTCATATTGTTTTTGAGTAATCCATTTAGCTAATCATAAATCTAACAAATATTTATTTGTTCTTTGAATTAATTCAGGTAATGGATCTTCTTTTCCAAGACATTTATATGCTTGAGTTTTCTCCATATATTCCTTGGATTTCTTACGATAATCTTCGATTTTACCTAAATGGAATACTTTTGATTTATCTGATTTCTGTAATGTAACATTAGCTAATTTAAATTTATGTTTCAATCTCTTAACTAATCTTCCATAATTTTTCTTTTTCGTCACTTTAACTCTATTAATAATTTGCGATTGAGTAGCTTGACTATTTATTAATTCAATAATACTGTTATTTCGATTAATTTTAGTATCAAATAATTTATCTTTCTTAATATTTTTGTTTGTTATTGAAACATTATGTAACATTTGAAGAAGACCATCTAATTCGGCAATAAATTGTTGAAGCGGCCGACCGGGGGCTTACTTTCTTACGAAGAAAACATGTTTTAATTTTACAATTTAAAGTAGCCAGCTCAGTTATACGTCGTCGGGCTGCCGCTTTGGGGTCATTAAAAATAAATTTAGGTCCCAGTTTTAATAATTGATGTTCTTCTTCAGTTAAGTGAATATTTGCTTCATTAATTATTGCTGGAGCAAGAAATCCTCGTCCAGCGAACGTATTAGAGTCGGAGCGATTATTTCTTCTTCTGAATTGTTGATTTCGCCCTCGACTCGCTGTTCGAATAAAAAATAAAGTGATTGTTCAACTTCTAATTTCATTCTTTTCTCTCGTAATTCATAATATTGTTTAAAAGCTGCATAGCCAGGTTCAGCATCAAATCCATCATCATTCTCTTGTGGAAATCTTTCAATAATACCTTTTATTTCATCCGATAAGATTTCATTTTCTCGAGCAGTTGATTGAACACATAATGTCATTGCTTGAGTACGAAAATCTTTCGTAATTTGACGCATTTGATTATACATTGCTTGCGCTTCATCTTGACTTATAATTGATTCATCAATTTTAAAAGAAAAATCAACTTTATCAATAATTTTTGGAGGCATATCTAATTCAACACGTTTTGATAGTATTTGATAATTTTTATTTTTAGTTGACCATAGCTTCATTTTAGGTTTCGGCAAGAAATGAGGGTGTGGGTGTGTAGAGTTACCACAAAAAAAAAGTTTTTCGAATTTACTTACGATTCTTGTCAAGTGGCAAGTATTTGTATGAATGATCCAAAAATTTGAAAGCAAATTTTCAAACCAAATACAAAATACATTACTAAGATTGGTTTTGAAATATTGTTGAGTGAGTGGTGAGACAGTTGGCAATGTAGGCTTTTGTGTGCGCTTTGATAGTTTGAGTACTGTTATGAATGCTGTTGATATAGCCTGATCAGATTGTGAGTTATTGAGTTATTATTGATTTTTTTGAACAGTACTAGGTTGGAAAAAATATTTTGCACGGGGGGATATTGCTATGATTTCAAGTAGGAAGCATATTGAATTTTATATCACATGAAAGCTCATCAAAAATGGGGTTTGATTGATACTAAATAGTGAGGGTTATAAAAACTTTTTAGTGTCAAACTTAAGAAATTTTATACTTTTTTAGGGTGGAAAATTAAGGTACCAATTATTCAAAAATGGAATAATATATATATATATCTTTTTTTTGGATATTTTTACATGGTTTGATAGAGCTTGTCGAGTTCTACAAAACTATATATTTAAAAAATTTTTTAAGGCATCATTTTGAGATAAAAAGTTCGAAAAACTACTCTGGAAACCTCGAAAAACGTTTAAAAACTCTCTTTTTTTCAAATTGAAGAAACATTCTAGATTTTTCAATATCCATTTCAAATACTCATCTTGACTTTTTTTGTTCTAGATTAATATAATATATCAGTTATTTTCGTTTCGTCTTGTTTGCTATGCCTTTACCGAAAAACGATCTAAAAATGTGGAGTTCAAAAAGCATTTCTTCTTTTGAAGAAGAAGAACGTTTCAAAGTGAGTAGAGATTGTAATCTATTGTATTTCTATAAGAAGTTGCTTTTTTTTAGAGATATATTAAACGTACGAGAAATATGACCATTAATGTGACACTTCAAATACGTACGGAAGTAAGTACTGTTTTCTTTTATTTTTTCATATTTTGGTTTCGTGAACTATACCAAGTTTTTGTGGACCTTTGTGTCTCGCTTTCAGCGTGCGATTTTTGAATCGCATCGACTGCGCGGCACATTTGTTTACAAAAGCTTGTCGCACTTCAGTAAATCAAACCGATTTTTCTAATTTTTTAAATCGCGCCGACAACTTTGCACGATTGTTGGCAAAAGTTTGTTGCATTTCAATGAATGAAACTAGTTTTACTAATTGAAATTCTTTATTTGTGTCCAGTCTTACCATCCACGTGAATCAGGTCAACCGGTTCCTGATGATCAATACATCATCATCGATGATGATGAAAATAATGTTGAACCTATGGAAATCGATCAAATGAAAAACAATAACAACAATACATAAAGTACAACAATCAAGAACTTCACAACAACAATGCACGACAATTTTGATCGAATTCGAAATGCTTATATAGTCGATAATACTTGCAATGATAATAGTAATAATCAAAGTTTTGGCTTCAATATCGAATCAAATAATATTGATAATAACCTTCTTCCAAGTAATACCAACTTAAATTCAGGTAAGGCTGATGACGAACAAGAATTTAGTGAATGGTTTTCTCATACTTTTTTCGAAAATGCTTACAGACCTTTTGCGTATCTCGATTATCTTGACATCAATTTAGATGGTATTTTCAGTCCGTGGGACGATACCATGGATTTTAGTATTGACGAAGCCTTTACCTCCTGGAATGTGAACAATCCATAAAAAAAAATGATTTGATTTGTGGTTTTGAAAATATTATCGTCGCTTGATGATGATATTGGGTCTTGTTGTTTGTTGAACTTGTAGTTTAGTAGTAGCCATTTTATTTCTCTTTTGCGATTGTATATTGTTGCTACATATATGGTATTTTTGTCGATTCATATTGCATATTCTTTGCTCTAGTCGTGTTTTGGTTTGTGCAGAGGTATCCTCTTCTTGTTCTTGCTCTTGATTGATCGAAGTAGTAGGTTGCGTTTTGATATTATTCTTCCTGGTTTGTGATATTTGCTCCTTGATTGTGATTTTGTTTCGCTTCGTCGGATTGTAACTCCTTTTGTGAAAAGAATAAAGATGAACGAATTAAAAAAATTTAAAAAAACATGTCCAACAAAATCCAACCCCTCACTTCCTCGCAGTGTTGGGTGGGCAACGTCATCTTGATGGCTAAGAAGGGCTCTGGTGTAGGCAACGAAACTGGTCAAATCAGGAATGTTTTGTCGTAACAGGAAAACAATCTAACCTGAGTATCAACCGCTAGTAAAGCATGATAATGTGTAAGGTAACCATAATCTATAGACTCTAGTTACCAAACGGAAAGGGTCAGGTGGCTCTAGGGATGCACCAATTCCAATTATAATCAATTCCAATTCCAACTCTTGCCTTGGAATTCACGGAATTGCTAGGAATTGGAATTAGTGGAATTGAAATTGGTCTGGAATTGACTACAATTGGCACTACTTACCTGAAATTCGTATGGAACCCTAGAAACTTACAGGAATTGTTCTGAAACTGGCTAGATCTGGCTTCACCTGGCAGAATTCGCATGAAATCATCGAAATTTACACCCGAATTAGTCTGAAATTGGCTAGGCTTGGCTTCAGCTGGCTACAATTGGTATGGAATCATTGAAATTTATACACGAATTAGTCTGAAACTGGCTAGGCTTGACCATAGCTGGCTAAAATTGGGTGGGTGCGGGTGTGTTTACAGAAATGACTTAATAGAAAGTCAAATCAAAAGCTAGCAAGACCGGTTTCGGTAGGTGCTGATATTATACTTATCAAATGCATTTTTGATTAAAAGAATGTTATGTAAGACAAATCTCCTACTGCAAATGCTATTGTCAGAAGTTTAGTTCTCATTCTAAATAAATACATAAATTTGATCATCGATCACGATATAAAAATATTTTTGTACGAATGTCACATGTTGAAGTAGAATATGAAGCAATAGTACGTTTTTTCTTTATGGGTTTTATATTTCAATTACTTTGTTTTAAGAGTTACAACTATTTCACATTTATGCTTGATGATTACCAAAATAAAAAAATAATTTTATCTCAAGAGTTTACTTAAACGTTCTTTTTCATTTCTCAAATTGTCTACTACCGAAAATTATATTATTAATAATGCATTATCTTTACCTGTACTAATATTTTGATGAAAATTATCCTATGTGCAAAAAAAATTCACTTTTCTTTACGTCATCCTTATTTATCATCCTTTTCTCTTGATTTATTAGAATATTGCTAAATTATTAAGGATTTACTTCCACCTATAACACTTTGTTGGTTATTATCCCTCACCGAGAGAATTTTTGAGACAAACCAATGAGATTTTTTTTCCTTCAAATAATATATGGAAAAAGAAATGAATGAGTAACAAATGGAAGATATTTGTATAAAATGCTCAAAATATTCGTGCTATAACACAATTTTTATTCAATCCACATGAATAGATATTCTACCGTTGGTTTATACATGCAAACCCTTTCAACATTCGATACCAATTCATATGACAAGTATGAGTATATTAAATCACTTGCTACACATGATTTGTTATCCTATTCAGAATTCTTCTTTGATTATATCTGAACTTACACTAAAATCAATAATTCGTTAAAACAGCCAATTCGTGTACAAAATAAAGAAACAGTTACTATTAAATAAACTCCATAGTTAATTGTAGAAAAGTCTAGTTTAAATCTGAGACGAATTAATTTATAAAATTATTCATTTCAGCGAAGTAAAAAAAATGCGCTGCTCTCACTTGCTATGGGCTATTTATTATGTGATACAATGCAAACTGATCGGTATTTGTTCTAGATAAAAATTATATCAAACACTTTAAGTAGAATTGAATATCTTCGGCAGGCATATACATATTAAAACATAAGTTATATTTTTTTATGAATGACAAAAGTTGTCTTAGACAATTCCGTTCACTAGCATTTATCTTTAGAAAATGCACTTTTGAGTTATTGTCTTTTATAACTCTATATTTGATACCATCATCATTGGCAATTTGATATGAACTATTAAGATTTCTTCAGTGAGTATAAATGTGAATAATTTATCTGTTCAATTAGAATATAAAATAATTTATTTGTTCCTATGAGAAAAATAACGAAAGTTATATTACTTTTCTAATGCGTATTTTTATATTCGATTTATTAAATATTAATATTAAACTATCGTTTCTATGAATATGGTGTAACACTCTCGAAAAAGAAAAAGAACAATCTTATAAACTATATATATATATACGTTTGATTGAACAAAATTACAAATCAATAGCTAAAATTCGTATATTTCTAGTATTTTAATTTATATTTTTAATTAATGAGGATAATCAAAAAAAAATTATTTTGATAACAATAATGAAAAAAAAACAGTTAAATAATGATTTCATCAAATTGTTCTTTGAAATATAGTTCAAATATACTTTGAAATCGTTTTCTTTTATTTAATCTAAATTAGATTATCTTTTAACCCTACTTATCGAATTGTCACAACCATTATAAATGCCGTTAACATTAACCTTTATATAACATGTTGGTATAAAATCAAAATAAACGACAATATTATTAAAAGCTATACTTCGAAATAATCATGTATTCAAATAGATGATTAAAATTAAAATTTTTTTACTCATATTTATTAGACGTCAATAGAATATTAAATGATTTATTCCCAGTAGTCCAGTAGAACTTTTAAATCAGGTCAATTTAAGTTTAAATCGAATGAGAACTGATAGTTATTTTCTTCTTTTAAAACTTATTATAGTTGATAATTTTATTTTTAGAATATTTAAAAAGCTACTCAACTATCCTTCTTCGATACTTCTTATAGCCTAAATCTTCTAATGAAGCAAGCTAATAAACTTCATTATTATATATTTAATACAACATGCCTACAAATTGATAGTCTTCCTTTATTAGAAAAGAAAACTTATT